CTTGTCTCTGTTGTTTCGCCAGCTAAAATTGATAACTGCAAAAAAAGCCGAGGTTATTTTTTTTAGTTTTTCTATTGTCTTACTTCTTGCTTGTTTTTAATTTTTTTTTGGAAAAAGTTTGATTGATTAAACAGAGTTTTTGCGCTATAGCTAAACCTAAGCTATGGCAAAGAAAGAAAAAAAAACGAGATCTAAAAAAATTGAGCAGAAGAAAAGTTTTAACGTACTACGTTCAATGTGGAAGAGTAGATGATAAAGTTGTAGTGTTAGGTTTCAGGGAGGGCGCGGACGAAGAAAAGCTCTCTAGATCGGCTGTCCAGAATCGTGGACAGTATCGCTGCCGAGGAAGCCGGAGACGAGGTCGCCGAATCCGGCAATGAACAGACAGCATAGTTGATGATGATGATGATGGTGATGATGACGATCGGTGGCAGTTTGTTGGCAAAATGTGTAAAAAAAAAAGACAAGGAAAGAAAATAAAAGAAAACTGACTGACTAACAGAAAGAAACTGAATACAGTGGTAAAAAAATTGTTTGCAGCTGAAAGATAAAGTACAGTCATTAAATTATCAGTTTTTTCTATACTTTTTTTTTTTTAATATTGTATAAATAATAAACGTATACTCATAAAACCAAAGAAGAAGAAAAAAAAATTTTTTTTTTGATTTTTTGTTTTATTATTTAGTTTTGCATTCTGAAGCTCTGTGTTGTCTTATATTTTTACATTTTTTTTTCCGATTTTGTATTTTAAATTTTGACTGATACACTGATTAGTGTTTGATCAGAATCAGCAAAAAAGATTTATTTGTATCTGTGTGTATGTGTGTGCCTGTGTGTTTTCGTCGTGTCTCTGTGTCTACGTGTTTATGTGAGCGAATTAACAGAAAACAAAATTAAAAAAAAAAAGAAAATAATAAAAAAGATTGGTGTTTGGTTAGTTTGCAAAAAAAAATGAGAAGTTGTTCTAGAAAACTATTGAAAACCAGGTGGAAAAGCCACCAGAAAGGGCGGCACAACAGATGAAATTTTGGGTGATATTGGGAAGAAAACTGTTTGGGATACTGTCGTTTGGCAACTTCGGTACATCATATCAGACCGGGATGAACAATAGGGGTAGAAAAAAACTGTTGGCTGTTTTTGAGAAAACAAAGTTGTTATTGGAAGAATCAGTTTGAATCTCTTATTTTTTATTCTTTCTTTAATTTAGTCATCAAAACCTCACTCAAATTTTTTTCCTTTACTTTTTTTGAATAAAAACTTACCAAATGTTATTCGTGAACTGTTTTATGGAATAGAAGAGGTATCACTACTTTTTTTCCAATTTTTGCGAAATTATTCCAAATCTAATTTTCTTTTTCTCTTTTTTTTTGTGTGTAAAAAATTGCTGTATCGTTGTTATTTGCAGGCAGAACTTTTCTTAACACTTAACAAAAAATGGAAAAAAAGCAGCGTACTGTTTGTGACTTATAACTGTTCTCTTGAAAAATTTTCATTTTTATTCCTTCTCTTAAAAGTGCTTTTTATTTTGTTACTGTTTTTTTTTGCTGGTGTTTAGTTGAAAGAAAGAAAGGTTAATTTAGTATTCTGTTTCTTACTTATTAATGTTTAGTGACAAAAAAACAAAGAAAATGTTTTATGTACATCTAACAAAAACAAACAAATGACAAAGTAATACTGTTTTTTTCTTTTTTTTTTTTTGACTTATCTTGTGGAACATTTGTTGTCGTGTTTTTATTTGTATTTATTCTCTTTTTTCTTCTCGGTAAGATTTATTATATGCTTTTTTAATACTGTTCACAACTCGTCGAATAAATAATAATTGCAAAAAAAAA